AAACTGTGCCCGTGCTGCATCCCCCGCAAGAGCAGCTGCAAGCTCTCCTGGACGAAGAGGGTCCGCCGATTCCACGTGTACAACCCCAGGTGCTCGCCGTCAAAGTGGATTGTGTGCGCCTCGTCAGGGCATTGGCAGTGGTAGATCCGCACCCGCACCCGCTGGCTCCACTGGGCGGCCGTCACGTCGGCCTCCATCCATGCCTCGATCCACGAGCCGCCGCACGCCGGCGATTCGATGGGGCGGGGCGCGCTCAACAGCCCCTTCTCCGATAGCTCCTGAAAGTGGCAATCCCTCAGCTTGCTCACAGGAACGGGGCGGTCGAGCAAAGTCACGAGCGGGTCGTGGACGGCGTGCGCATCGCTCAATCGTGCCAGCTTGGGCTTTGTAACTTGGACGGCCTCAGTCGTCAGGAGCATGACGGGGGTGCGAACCTTCGAGGCCTCTCCATGCTCGCACCCGCCGTTCAAGGCTGCCAAGGAGGCAACCGAACAGCTCGTGCACGCGTCCACCCAGCCTCGAATTGCCTCCTTGCCCCTCGCTTCCGCCGGCGGCCGAGCGCCCCACCCCACTCTTGTGGCTGGACCTTGCGAGCCTTGCTTGTGTGCCTCCCAAAAAGCCTTACTGCGCCTCGCCCGTTTGCGAGGGGGCGCCTCCTCCTCAGCCGACCCCCCTTCCCTGCCACGATCGCCCCCATTGCTCTCCCGATCGTTGGAAATTTGTGCGACGGCGGCCTCTCCAAAGAGGCGATCGTGCTGACGACAAAAGCACGAGTCGCCGGCGCAGGTCGCTTGCTCATGGGGCCGCCGCTCCAGCAAGCCAACAAGATACCGCTCCTCCTCCGACAGCCCCGCATCACTGGCTACCCCCTGCGAGGGGGTGCCCACGGCGGGGGGTATCCCAATCTTTGGCAACTCGCCGTTCCACCGCTCGAGCCAGCCCAGCGCAGCCTCCGATAGCGGCTCCGAGAGCCTCAGAACCATCTGATCGGCAACTGGAAGGTCTCCCTCGTTCCTCAGAGCTGCCTTTGCCGCTATAACGTGCGAGCAGTCGGTGAGGCTCGGGCACCCGTCGCGCTTCCCCTCGCAATACCAAGCCCCCTTGCTGCTGCAAAAGACCATGCGCCTCTGAGGGCTTGGAGGTCTTTGGAGGTTGTCGGCCGACGCAAAGTAGCTTCCCGTCTCATCCGAGCCAACCCGCTCCACCCTCGCTCCTCTGCCGAGCGACTCTTGGATAGGCAGCTCCGCCGTCGAGCTCCAGCTTTCGCTGAGGGCCGCGAGTGCCAACTTGTGCACGCACGGCGCGTCCTCCATCAGCCGTCCCCGGTTGCACGTGCAGCAGAGCTCGCCAAGCGTGCTCCACCAGACGGTCTCTGGGAGCGCGTCGGTCTTGGATGGCTTCCCAAGCCCTTTTGGCCGGCCCTCTCCGTTGTGATCCCATGCCGACATGTAGAGCCTAAGCGGGGGAGAAGCCGACCCTGCCGGCAAGAAGACGCGAACCGACTCCTGGGGAGACGTCATCATCACGAGGTAGCGCACCGCCTGCTCCTTTATGCGTGAAGCCGCCCCCTGCAACACAAGGCGGGAGCAGGTCTTTCAGACGGACCTCCTTGCCATTGTCAGGCAGTGTTACAAGTATGGAGCCCATTGAGTCAGTGTCTCTGGATTCAAACAATTGAGATACCTTGTGACCGCACAATTCAGAGTCGTTGTAGAGCAACTTCAGCAGAATCTTAAACTCCCTCCCATGTCGCTGCCGACGACTCGCCCGTGCTATGTAGCATCGATGGCATTTAGAACGAGCTGGACAACAGGTGACTGCAGTGCCAGACATTTTGTTCTGATAGTAAACAAGAAAAAAAGGATGTGCAAGCTCACCTCAGTGCTCGTCTCCTCTGAGGCGCCCTTCTCTCTCGGCCGCACACCCTTCGCCATGCCTCGCTCGCCGATCTGGGTTGCCGCCGTGGCCACTGGCCTCTGCTCCAGTCCCGTCGTTGCGTTCTCTCGATAGAAGAAGCTCAGCACTTCGTGCGTGAGCTCGAAGCTTTGGCTCCAAGGCCCTTCCCCCCTCTGCCGCCGCAAGATGGGCGTGTCTTGCCCACCATCTTTCCTGCCACTTAACGTGACCAACAACCCATCTGCGCTCTCTGCCACCACGCCGAGCAGGTTATGGACGCAACTCAAGCACACAATTTGCTTGCATTGCTTGCTCTTCGGAAGTCCAGCACTGATCAGGTAGCCCATCAGCACGCCGCGGTCACTCTTGCGCCATGCGAGCGTCATGAGGCCAGCAGGCTTTTTGCTCCTGACCCAGATGCGGTGAGCGCAAGTGAGACACTTGAAAGCAACCCGCTCCTTGCAACTCTCAATGCCAACCCTAATTTCACCTGAGGTGATCCCTTCGAGGCTACCTTGCTCAATGTGGCCAAGCCCACCGCTGAAATGCCCAAGACTAGCTCGAGACTCCATGGTTACCACCCCTTCCTTGGCCTACTCTGAGGGGGCCGGATCTTCCTAAGTCCCGTGCGCCTCCACCTGCCTCCTGCTACCCGGCCCGTATTTCCCGGGCCCTCGAACTTGCCTTCTGGACTCGACGGCCTCTCCCTAAGTGTCTGAGCCCCGA